ATTTAGTATTAAATCTTCCATCTGATATGGAAGGGCAAATGGTCTCAATTGGTTGTAAATATTGTCATTTTGATATACTGTATTTTATTTCAAGTTGATTAGTCTAAATTAAACGAAAGATAATAACGAAAGTTTTAAAAATGAAGTCATAATAGGTTTCATACATTAGTAGCATTGTTGGTGGATCCACACCTAGTTAGTCTCTATCATTGGTTAGTATTAGTTCAAATTATGTTGTCACTTGTTTTAAAATTGTGCACATATGAAAAATCTAACCATAAATTAATATTGTTGATTGGCTAATCGGCTACATCCATTGAAGACAATAAGGAAAATTAAGTATTTACACTTTACCTGCCACTTATTTAAAATTTGCATTTTACATCCTACGTTTGCTCATAATTAACAGAATATAACTTCTACTATATAAAATGTTGTAAATGATAAGTTTATTAGTAAATGATAAATCTACCCTTACGTCCCCAAAAATTATTACTATTGTATCCATAATATTTCCCTATAAATATGGGGTCTGGGTTCTTAATAAAACACCCACAAGTTTATTGATTTCTATTATCTCTTCTTTTTTTTTTTCTCCCTTTTCATAATGCGTTATCAGCACGAACGCATTCTTGAAAGTCTAGTGAATGTAATAGTTTTTTAAGCATAATTATCTATCACTTATACCAAAATTAATTTGGTGATATGTCAATTTTTTATATACATATGCATATAACACGTTAATTTGTATGTATCTGAACTTTCTCTTGTAATATGTCGAAATTCACATTCAATTTTACTTTACACAATTTCGGTTGATACATACGCAATCATATTTTGGCCGATTCGTATTCAAATTGTCTTTGTGATGCATTCATATTCAATTTGCCGAAATCAATTGTGCATATCATTTTGCCCAATTGCCCAATCAATTTGTGTTTGCCAAATTAACTGTGTAATAATTTACATGTAATTCCATGGTTTATAGTCAAAGTTAGGTTGCATATTGAAGAAATGAAATCAAATTACTTGTAATTCTGTATTATTTTAATATTTTAAATTCATAAGAGTAATAAATTAATATAAGAATTTAATTTAATTTATTTTCTTTAAAATTTTAAGCAAATTTGCATCGAATTTATTTTCATCAGAAATTAGGAATACTGTAGGTATATTACCGAAGGAATAGAAATTAAAAAAAATCCATTGGTAGTTTCCTTTGAACTATGACATCGCTAAAGTTGACGCTAATAACATCCATTCAAATTCGTCGGTATTTATGATGGATATGTATCTAAAGGTAAGTTCGTCGGTAATCACCGACAGTTACGTTGCCATCGGAAAAATTACCGACGCGACTTTCATCGATGGTATGTGTCGATGGAAAATTTCCATCAGTAAGTAAGTTTATCGACGGAAGAATGGCCTTTAACGACGGAAATTTCCATCCCTGAATAATCAAACTTTCAGTAATCCTTCCTATGGCTTCCCAAACTTCTTCTCTTCTCTTCGTAACTCTGATCAGCACTCTTTTGGTTAGCTGCAATGCAGCATCCAACTCCAATGAAAAGGCATGAAATTTGTGTTTATAATGAAACATCTGAGTGTTTTAATCCATGTTCAGATTTCTTTTCTTCTTGTAAATATCAAGATGATGATGTAGGTATTTGCTTGTAGGTATTAATTGTGTACATGGACAGTGACGAATCCAGGATTGGAGGTCAGTTAAGGCGGTCTTTGACGGTTGATCGTCGACAATCAACGACTGTAATATCGAAATTGTTTATTTATATTTCTAATACTAATAAGGTTGTTAAATCCAATGATCCCAAATGGCGTGGGAATAGCTTGAGAAGGGGTGCCTTCTGCACATATTGCAGTGTACAAAATTTGTTGGTCTTATGGTTCTTCAGATGCTGACATTCTTGTTGCATTTGATGATGCAATTTCTGATGGAGTTGATATAATATCACTTTCAGTTGAAGGGATGTATCCGTTGAGTTATTTTGATGACTCAATTTCGATTGGTACATTCCATTCTATGAAAAACAGAATACTCACATCAAATGCTGTAGGTAATTTTGGACCTGATCCTGAAAGCATCATAAATTTCTCACGTTGGTCCCTCTTGGTTGCTGCCAGTGTCATCAATAGGAAATTTTTTACCCAAGTTCTGTGGGGAAATTAAAGGTAAAACTTATGAGGTAATAATAAGATATTCCATCGTACTATATCAAAGTGAAACTAAAAGAATTTAGTTATTATATTAATTTCAGTTGCTCATTTTTTTATTTTTTAGGGGGCTTCTGTAAACACATTTAAGCTTCAAGACGAGATGTACTCATTAGTCTATGGAGGGAAATGTACATGCACCTACACCAGGTGCTGATGACTGAGTCTAGGTAGATTATAAAGAAGATCTACAATTAAACAGTTAATGTCGTTGTATTTCATTTCAACACTAATGATGCATAAATTAATGTAGGTATTGCTTACCTGACTCATTAGATGCAAAAGAGGTAAATGGAACCATAATCAGGGATGGATCCAGGACCGGACGAGAGGGGGGGCTAATACGTTAAAAAAAAAAAAAATTATACATGAAATTTTTTTTTTACATAAAATTTTTTTTTTCTCAAGTAAAAAAAAAANAGCCCCCCCTAAATCCGTCCCTGGAACCATTGTCCTATGTGATACACTGGGTGATGGAATACCACAAGTACTCGCAGGTACAACCGGAACTATAATGCAAAATGACGGATTCAAAGATTGCGCTTTGTCATTTCCCTTACCAGCTTCATACCTGTTATCCGTTGATGGTGCCGAAGTTTTTAAGTATATCAACTTAGCAAGGTAAATAAAATTGTATCCTTCCATTTATTTTCACACAATTAATTAAGTATTAAGTTGACCTTTACAAAAGAGTATCTAATTATATGTTGTTAATGATGTAGTAATGCAACTGCTACCATTTTTAAGAGTGTTGAAAGAGTAGAGAAATTGTCCCCCCCCCCCCCCCCCCTTGTGGTTTCCTTTTCATCTAAAGGACAAAATCCAATCACAAGAGATATCTCCAAGGCAGGGACGGACGCAGAACTTTAACTTTGGGGGGACACAATCGAACTTGCAAA